ATAACGACTAAATCAGCAGTGGTTTTTCTGTTACATATTCCCTTTGATAACGACTAAATCAGCAGTGGTGTTTCTGTTACATATTCCCTTTGATAACGACTAAATCAGCAGTGGTGTTTCTGTTACATATTCCCTTTGATAACGACTAAATCAGCGGTAATGTTTCTGTTACATATTCCCCTTAATAACGACTAAATCAGCAGTGGTGTTTCTGTTACAAAATATTCCCCTTCATAACGACTAAATCAGCAGTAGTGTTTCTGTTACATATTCCCTTTGATAACGACTAAATCAGCAGTGGTGTTTCTGTTACATATTCCCTTTGATAACGACTAAATCAGCAGTGGTGTTTCTGTTACATATTCCCTTTGATAGCGACTAAATCAGCGGTAATGTTTCTGTTACATATTCCCCTTAATAACGACTAAATCAGCAGTGGTGTTTCTGTTACAAAATATTCCCCTTCATAACGACTAAATCAGCAGTAGTGTTTCTGTTACATATTCCCTTTGATAACGACTAAATCAGCAGTGGTGTTTCTGTTACATATTCCCTTTGATAACGACTAAATCAGCAGTGGTGTTTCTGTTACATATTCCCTTTGATAACGACTAAATCAGCAGTGGTGTTTCTGTTACATATTCCCTTTGATAACGACTAAATCAGCGGTAATGTTTCTGTTACATATTCCCTTTGATAACGACTAAATCAGCAGTGGTGTTTCTGTTACAAAATATTCCCCTTCATAACGACTAAATCAGCAGTAGTGTTTCTGTTACATATTCCCTTTGATAACGACTAAATCAGCGGTAATGTTTCTGTTACATATTCCCCTTCATAACGACTAAATCAGCAGTGGTGTTTCTGTTACAAAATATTCCCCTTCATAACGACTAAATCAGCAGTAGTGTTTCTGTTACATATTCCCTTTGATAACGACTAAATCATCAGTGGTGTTTCTGTTACATATTCCCTTTGATAACGACTAAATTAGCAGTGGTGTTTCTGTTACATATTCCCCTTCATAACGACTTAATCAGCAGTGTTGTTTTTGTTACATAATCCCTTTGATAACGACTAAATTAGCAGTGGTGTTTCTGTTACATATTCCCTTTGATAACGCAAAATAAGCAGTGGTGTTTCTGTTACATATTCCCCTTCATAACGACTAAATCAGCAGTGGTGTGTCTGTTACATATTCCCTTTGATAACGACTAAATCAGCAGTGGTGTTTCTGTTACATATTCCCTTTGATAACGACTAAATCAGCAGTGGTGTTTCTGTTACATATTCCCTTTGATAACGACTAAATCAGCAGTGGTGTTTCTGTTACATATTCCCTTTGGTAGCGACTAAATCAGCAGTGGTGTTTCTGTTACATATTCCCCTTCATAACGACTAAATCAGCAGTGGTGTGTCTGTTACATATTCCCTTTGATAACGACTAAATCAGCAGTGGTGTTTCTGTTACATATTCCCTTTGATAACGACTAAATCAGCAGTGGTGTTTCTGTTACATATTCCCTTTGATAACGACTAAATCAGCGGTAATGTTTCTGTTACATATTCCCCTTCATAACGACTAAATCAGCAGTGGTGTTTCTGTTACAAAATATTCCCTTTGATAACGACTAAATCAGCAGTGGTGTTTCTGTTACATATTCCCTTTGATAACGACTAAATCAGCAGTGGTGTTTCTGTTACATATTCCCTTTGATAACGACTAAATTAGCAGTTGTGTCTCTGTTACATATTCCCCTTGATAGCGACTAAATCAGCGGTAATGTTTCTGTTACTTATTCCCTTTGATAACGACTAAATCATCAGTGGTGTTTCTGTTACATATTCCCTTTGATAACGACTAAATTAGCAGTGGTGTTTCTGTTACATATTCCCTTTGATAGCGACTAAATCAGCGGTAATGTTTCTGTTACATATTCCCTTTGATAGCGACTAAATCAGCAGTGGTGTTTCTCTTACATATTCCCTTTGATAACGACTAAATCATCAGTGGTGTTTCTGTTACATATTCCCTTTGATAACGACTAAATTAGCAGTGGTGTTTCTGTTACATATTCCCTTTGATAGCGACTAAATCAGCGGTAATGTTTCTGTTACATATTCCCTTTGATAGCGACTAAATCAGCAGTGGTGTTTCTCTTACATATTCCCTTTGATAACGACTAAATCAGCAGTGGTGTTTCTGTTACATATTCCCTTTGATAACGACTAAATTAGCAGTGGTGTTTCTGTTACATATTCCCCTTGATAGTGACTAAATCAGCGGTAATGTTTCTGTTACTTATTCCCTTTGATAACGACTAAATCATCAGTGGTGTTTCTGTTACATATTCCCTTTGATAGCGACTAAATCAGCGGTAATGTTTCTGTTACATATTCCCTTTGATAGCGACTAAATCAGCAGTGGTGTTTCTCTTACATATTCCCTTTGATAACGACTAAATCATCAGTGGTGTTTCTGTTACATATTCCCTTTGATAACGACTAAATTAGCAGTGGTGTTTCTGTTACATATTCCCTTTGATAGCGACTAAATCAGCGGTAATGTTTCTGTTACATATTCCCTTTGATAGCGACTAAATCAGCAGTGGTGTTTCTCTTACATATTCCCTTTGATAACGACTAAATCAGCAGTGGTGTTTCTGTTACATATTCCCTTTGATAACGACTAAATTAGCAGTGGTGTTTCTGTTACATATTCCCCTTGATAGTGACTAAATCAGCGGTAATGTTTCTGTTACTTATTCCCTTTGATAACGACTAAATCATCAGTGGTGTTTCTGTTACATATTCCCTTTGATAACGACTAAATTAGCAGTGGTGTTTCTGTTACATATTCCCTTTGATAGCGACTAAATCAGCGGTAATGTTTCTGTTACATATTCCCTTTGATAGCGACTAAATCAGCAGTGGTGTTTCTGTTACATATTCCCCTTCATAACGACTAAATCAGCAGTGGTGTTTCTGTTACATATTCCCTTTGATAACGCAAAATAAGCAGTTGTGTTTCTGTTACATATTCCCTTTGATAACGACTAAATCAGCAGTGGTGTTTCTGTTACATATTCCCTTTGATAACGCAAAATAAGCAGTTGTGTTTCTGTTACATATTCCCTTTGATAACGACTAAATCAGCAGTGGTGTTTCTGTTACATATTCCCTTTGATAACGCAAAATAAGCAGTGGGGTTTCCGTTACAAATTCCCTTTGACGGCGATGTACCTTCATATCTAGCGTGTCTGCAATACCATGTAGAAACTTCTAATGTAGTACTATGCGCACAAAGAACTGATGATTGACATGTTTGAGGTTCGTTAATCTGTACATATTGTTTTGATGGTCTGTTAATTTGTTTGGCATGACTGCCATGAGGATGAAACTTTCTCAGAAAGGAGGAGCCGAACACAGTGTTCACTGTCCAGCATACATTTATACTTCAGGTAAATCCTAAAACAAAGTTGCTCTTTACAAATTATTTTTTTCAAAATATTCAAGACAGTTGGACGGGTCAATCCTTGACAGTGCACCTTGCATGATTGCTCCGGCACAGATGTACTGGCCATGACAATTCAACCAACAAATATTTACACTATTCATAATATCATCAAAAGTCTCCATATAGAACGCATCTTATCCAATAGGTAAATCACTGGATTGTCTGGTCCAGACTCGATTATTTACAGACAGCCGTCATATAGCTGGAATGTTGCTGAGTGCGGCGTTAAACAACAAACAACCCAAGATGGTTGTCCTGCAGACGCGATTATTTACAGGCCGCTGAATATTGCCGAATGCGGTGTTGAACTAAGAAAAACGAACAAAAGCATATTTCATAAATAACAATCTGATTTTAACCTACATGTGTTCTTTCATTAAAGTAAATTCTTGTCTACTCTTGAAATGATAAGTTTATGTTTTGCGGGGGAGAGTGCCCAACAAGGCTGCATGCTATGGGAAGCAACACATATTTACCGCACACCTATACTGGCTGTGTGATGACGTATTGTAGAAGTTGCCGCCTGACCAATATAAAGACATTTAATGGGAAATTACAAAGGTGTCCCTTGAGCGTTCATGTAACCTATGACCAAGTGTTCGTTTGTGCACTATATATGTGCATGTGCCAGCAGTGTGTCCCATGTGTTCTATTGGGTTCCAATCTGACGAGTTAGAGGGTCATGTGGTTTCGTAGGAATGCTGTCGTTACATGTGCTGTGAGCAGTTAAGCATTGACGTTGAAAGATGACGTTCATAACGGGAACAAAGTGCGGTAGTAGGACAACAGCATTGGGTCGTTAACTTGCTTTGCACACCTGCTCTGTTGTACCAGTGTTGGAAGATGTGGCCCCTTATTACGCTGCCACCGCCAAATCTGTCCACATTTTCACATGAAACATCAAACGTAACTCGTTTACCTGCAGCTCCATACTTTTTTAGGTATTGTCTAAGGTCAAAAACAGTACCTGTGTTACCATGATGTTATTGTCAGTAAATTTAAAACACAACTCACCAATATCTTCTTTATTTGTTGTCAAATGTTTGTTCTATCTGATGACATTGGTATCGCCCAGTTTCTGTGGTCAGTCATCCCATGCCATGACTTTTGTCAATAGGGGACTGTTCTGAAATAGGGGTGTGCTTAACTTTTTTCTTTGTGTATATTTCAAGAGCATTCCCAAAGACTACCCAGAATATAAACCACACGTCCCTTGGGGGAAATCAAACTGACAATGAAAATGTAGCATGTTACTCATTGTAAGTAAGTCAGCATGACTTACAAGAGCTGTCATAAAATTGTTATCACCTATCATACATGATTACCAGTATTGAAATCATCAGGTATACAGACACGATATCCCTGAGATGTCTAAGCACTGTGTGGTTTCAAAAACAAAATGCAGTAATGGCAGCCAAATTCAGACATATTTTAAACCATACCCATCTACATATGGCTGTTCAATCAACAAGAACTCCTTAAATACATTCAAAATACATTTATTGCATTTTCTCATAATAAACCTCACTATGAGATAACAAGATAAAATCTATTTTTATCATACATATAGCTTTCTAAAAGCCAATAAAACAAAAAACTTTAAGTTGGACTAAACAGCTTCTCGTGATGAAAGTATGTTCTACTTTGATAACCAGGGAATCTTGTTGAATCAGAACCAATATCAAATGCATGAGATCAGATAATAACACACTTAAATATATATCTTACTGTGAGATGTGCATAGAGAGATTCAACATGGAGTGGAAATCTTACCGGGGTACCATACTTATCATGTACAAGTTCGATCAATCACCAGGGATACCACCAGGTTCTAACTTTGCTACTGTAAACATGTCACCTGGCAATGTATCATGTAACACAAACAATGAAAATTCTGAAATCCACTAATAGTACTTTCTTGGTATAAATCAACATCATTGTTGGTGAAATGGGGTTTATTGTGGTGTCCAAGATTATTGCACTTACATAGCCACGTGCATGTACGTGTGTGTGTGTGGCTGCTTGTACTAGTCTGGACTGATGCCGATTTATAGTGCTCGCCAACTGAGAACCATGCCCATTAACATGAATACCACACACAGACACAGTATACTGACTCCCAGCCGAACAGTCCTTGTTTTATCGCCTTAATGCCAAGCGCTAGACAGGATAACAAGTACCATCTTTTGAAGTCTTTTGGTATGATGCGGCCGGGGATCGAACCCCGGATGTTCCATTCTCCGGACAGATGCTCTACCACAAGACCACAGAGGCAGTCAGATATCATTGTAACTAATGATGCATACCAATACTGTGATAATAAGATACACAGTTTATTCAAGGGTTCAGTTACTTATAATAATATGTTGTTTTGGGTCAAGGAAAGTATCATAAACATACCAGTTACTGTCATTATTGTTTAACAGGGCAATGTCAATCCCAGTAAGATGTGGTCAGCAGAATCTGCCCAACTGACCCTGCCTTACATCTTTGCACTTCATACTAGCATGATGGGGAAATCAAATGTTTGATTTAATGTGACTGCTGAAACCATTTCCCCTACTAATCCCTGCTAGTCACCATAGATTTGAATTTGTTTTTAGATGAAAAAGTGCAAATTTGAAAGCTACAAATGTTTTAATCTTTACTTCTTAATATTATGTATTATGTATACCTTAAACATAAGGTTTTCAAATCATTTGTTTATATTCGTCAAGCTTGAAATAACTGTTTTAAAAGCACAACTGCACAATTGCAAGGGTAATCTTATCCATAAGGAAACGCCATCAACATCTTCAAGCATATAAATAAACAAAATGTAAAGCTCTCACAAAACATGACTAATATAGAAATGGAATAGCATCAATGACTAGTCTGCACATCAATACAGACTTCTGTTATATTAATAAAAATAATTCTCCAAATGAACCATCAGTACAAAACACACAGACTTGACCCATGGATCCAGCCTTGCAGACACTAACACAATAACATAATTGTTACCCAATGGCAGTGACATGTAATCACATTTCAGAAAAAAAAAGGATAACACTTTCCCTAATGTAAAGTTTCTTACCAAGTATTCATGTAGATGTGTCATCTGTCCAATAAATGTCAGCACACGGTTTTCACTGAGAACCATCATATCGCTAAATATTATTTCGCATGGTTTAAGGAATGCAGAAATGTGCGTCCAGTATGCACAAATGTTTAGAATGGATGCATAAACAAACATATATTGCATCCTTCAATGTAGCTAATTTTTTACAATAATTAAAATCTTAAATCTTAAAACAGTCACTGCACCATTTCATTACTATACTAAATGACCCTCATATTTCCTGTAAGGAGCCTTGAGATAAGTAATTGGGGGGTCGTCAGGACCCCTAGTTTTGTAGGTCAAGGTAAAACCCTGTTTCATCAATGTTGAACCAGTATGATGGATACAGTACAACAGCACATGATAATCACCATGTTCATCAATGTTGAACCAGTATGATGGATACAGTACAACAGTACATGATAATCACCATGTTTCACCGGGAAGCACTCGTCAGGAAAGACAAAGTTGTAATCCATTAATCAAACTTCACATCCAATAGTGTCCATCCTGATATAGATACATTCTGACCAAAATGACAGCTGTAATGGGTGTTGTTCTTCACAATGAATTCAAATTTCTTTCCATCACCATGATGAATTGAAGGTTGTTCATTAGCATGCATAACAGACAGTTCATGATCCATTAAATCATTGTCTATCTAGAAGCATAGATATATTGATCACAATGCATTCAAAAAGAGCATTACACGTATTCAAGGGTTCTTCATCAAGGTCCAAACTCTGACTGTGTTGTTAAAAAAACACGTTTAGCATTACAAAGACGACCTATTCACAACAGCAGCAATACTGGAATTGTGTAAACTGTGGCATGAAACTCCAGGTGATGAATTGAAGGCTTAGAGGAAGATGAGCTACGTCTTGAGGGAAAAATGTCTCATCGCCTGAAATAAAGAAGAAATGGTCCTGAATCATAAATGTACTTCTTCCACTATAGTTGTTACAAACTGTTCTTTATCTGACAATGCCAGCATAGACAATACAGTATGTACACTGTTAGAGAACATTTTTCAAGCGTATTGTTTGACAAAATGCACAAATACTAGTTTTTGAATATGAGGTAGTTTGCTTTTCCTACTGTAAGATTGTGAAATACTCTCACTTGAGCTAAACCAATTATCAGGCATAAGAAGCCTTTGTTCCCTATGCATTCAACACTTTTGATTGGTTAGCAGACAATACACACCTGCTCATAAATGGTCCATGCCATAGCTGCCATAAGGGTTCGACGCAGTGTTCTTGGAATGATTCCACGCCAAAACCCAACTAAACCATCCTTCTGCAAAATAAGTACAAAGTTCTAGAATGTCAGACTTGAAACAATTTTGGATGCTCCTGTTTCTTGGTTTGTGGCTCCCCTTTTCAAACTGACACATACTTTTTTTGTCACTAGTTGGCCCTACCTGCCATAATAGAAATTACTAGAAAGAACACTGATCCTTGTTTTCAACTATTATTATGTTTTCAAGTTGACATGTTTCCAACCCACCTGATAAACATGCAATGCACATGCTCTGATGTTGCCATACATAGCTGGGTTGAGCTGTGCATGTGTCTTTATCACATCTGCTGGCTGAGTAACCACGGATGCCAAAGACCCTGCCATAATGCCACACAGGAAGTGAAAAAGTGGCAAAGACTTCTCTTGGAGCATGTCTGGAAAGGAAGGACAGCATTGTAAGAAAATTCATTCCATGGTGCCTGCAAAGCAGCCTAGAAACATAATTAGGGCGAACAAGGATTAAAACCCACATTCTTAGGTTTCATGCTTTCCCAAGGGAAGCAACTCTGCACGATGAAAAGCGGTGCCTTAGGCAACTGGGCCACCAGCATCCTCCCCCGACAAGCCAGGAATCTTTTTAAAAAAAGGCCCCATTCCACAAAATGACTTTATTCTATGACTTGTGTACTTCTAATAATTAAATAGACTTCCAGAAGTTGTTGTGCCAAGATGCCGCCCATGAATGGAACCTTTAATGCCTTTAATATGGTGGCACTACAATAAATATGTGCACTGTTGCCCTATTACATGCATTCCATCTGTATGTGCATACCTTCTGGCAGTGTCCTTTTAAGCTGAGTATAAAACATGAGGTAGAGAGATGAGAATGGTACGTCCCTCATCAGTGTAGGTCCCAAACCACAATACAGACCTGGAAAACAAAGTGTTCTCAGGAACTACTTGATGTACAAGGTAAAATACACAACAAAACTGACGAAATTATTTCACTGGAATATTAGAGATGATATGTTTCTTTTACTTCATATTGACAAATTTATCACCTACTTGCCTAATGACAACTTATGACTAACAATTCCAGTAACGTTAAACTAGAACGCAAGTGCACCTTTCAGTCCCTCTTTCTGATGAGTGATAACCAATGCCCTTGTCATACTGGAGTACTGGAAGTTGCCACTCTGTCAACAGAATCATTATTGATACATACATACGTACATGAAAAAAACATCAAGTACTTTTAAAACGAATTTTACCTGACTATGCTACCTTCATTACATTCAAATATATAACACAGACTTACAGATACAATAGACATAGTATTTGTAAATACAGAGAATGCTTGTGAACTTTTTAGCTCCATTACCTCTACCGCATATCGCCATCTATAGAGCGACCCCACCTTAAAGGCTATCCCCCTGTACAAGCCTTCAAAACCAATGCTAATTTATATACCCCGTCTATAATGCGAATCAGAATGAAGCACATCACCTTTTCATACAAAATCCCTACATTTGCAATAAAACGTGTTTGTCTTTCGCAGAAAAAAAATTATGTCCCTTCAGCGAATTCAGGGAAACAAACAGGCCATAAGGACCCATACAAATTTCAATCTATGGGCCCAACACGCGATCTACCTGCAACAGGTCTATGGGCCTACGGGCAGGCACTTATTTCGAACACTGCCTAGCAGTACACTCATGAAGACTTTTGTCTAAAATTGATGCTACACTTGTAAAGACCTACAGGAAGTAACTCAAGAATCGTGTTAATGGTCCCTTTGGACATCAGTGAGTGAGTATTGTTTTATGCCGCTTTTAGCAATATTCCAGCAATATCACGGCGGGGGACACCAGAAATTGGCTTCACACATTGTGCCCATGTCAGGAATAGAACCCGGGTCTTCGGCGTGATGAACTAACGCTTTAACCACTAGGCTACCCGACCGCCCCCCTTTGGACATCAAGATAACATTATACTTATGGGAGTACACTTATCGACACTATTGTCTAATATTGTCACTACACTCATCTCCAACTACAAGATATTCATTAACTATCAATAGTCCCTACAACAAGTAAACAAGGTCCCACTTCAGATCACTCTGCGAAAGTGAGTCACAGATACAATTTCTGGAAATGCGAAATCTATTGGAAGGTTTACTCACCTCATAACGAGTCTTAAGGACCGTGAATGGGAGGACTGCAACTGCAGCGACTGAGCGAGCTGTTGCTCCCATGAGCAATGACTCCACAGGATGGGGATCTGTAGTCCTGTTGACAACCATACAAGTTGTAATATTGTCATTAATATAGTACAATGCCATAGCAGTTTTCTACATTCCAAAAACTTTTGTAGGAGTGGGTGGACACCCCTGGGTACATCACAGTGGACAGCCTACCCATTTCCTGCATTCAATAGTACTTCTAATCACATTTGCAGCATCTGTAGATACCCTATTTCTACAGTTGGTGCTTCCACAAGGTGCTTCTTAGATTCCAGAATTGCCATTTGATACACCAACGAGTTTGAAACAATATTTTACCTTTATTTCTTAACATTTAGATTTGCTGAAATAAGTCAATGAGTCTTGCAAAGTTTTCTCATCTCTAAGTGAATTTCAAATTGTGAAATATTTTTTTTAACCATGAGCTCTCCATGTTGAACTGTCCTTCAACAATCAGTAGGAGTGACCATGTTATAGCACCACAGTGACAGCTTCTTATCACATCATCATACTGGATGACCACATACCCAAAATTTGATCTGAGCCAGTGTAGAGAAGCAAAGTAAATCCCCACACCCGGGACGCATCGCGTGATTGACTGAAACAATAATATCACACTCTAAAAACAATATATGGTTAAAGGTAAGCAAATTTTTATAGGAAACTATACAAGGAAAAATGTACATGTAAAAATAATTTCACACACTGTAAATATGGTAAAGTTTTTTTGACGAAATGTTGACAAATCTGAATAATACAGGCATTGTTGACATTATGTTAACGCGGTCACAAAATGTCATTGACTGACATGTTGATCCTGAATAAAGCAAGTTATATAATATTGGGAATTTCCCCTGAGATTATTCAATTTGATGTTGTTTGTTTATTTGTTTGTTGTTTATATTCGGTTTGTTGTTATATATGTTGCCATATTCCGGCTATATGACGGTGGTCTTTGAATAATTTAGTCGGCACCAGATAATCCAGTGATGGACATCATGAGCATCGATCCACATAATTGTGATACAATAACATGCATCAGCCAAATCAGCGAATCTGACCACCCAATTCCAAGACCTATTCTACCCTAAATCTTCGACCCGTGAAGATCCAGGGTAGAATAGGTCTTCAGCAACCCATGCTTGCTGTAAAAGGTGACTATTTTTGTCGTAAGAGGCAACTAACGGGATCGATGCTCATGATATTAATCACTTGATTGTCTGGCCCAGACTCGATTATTTTCAGACCGCCATCATATAACTGGAATGTTGCTGAGTGTGGCGTTAAACAACAAACCAACCAACCAAACCCAATCTTCAAGAGTTTAATTTGACGTGAATTCATTGGAACTGTACATCAGGTGTGCTCTAGCACAGATGTGAGATTAGCAACACCATGTAAGTAATGTTGATGTTCCTTCATTTTGATGGCTCTAGGAAACAATCAAACCATACTGCATAACTACCATAAAGTTCCATGTAACTTTTATGCATTGATACTAATATAACCAAGGCAACCAATACTGACTTACCGGAACAATTCCCCTCCATAGTCCAAGGAGGCGGTCTTTTTCAATAACATTTGTCAAAACACTGACAATGCCCTGTGTTTTCCTACAAACAAAATTCATAATTTGAATCACATCAACTTCTTTGAAGGAGTTTTATCAATACTTTAACATGTTTAAGTTACAGGTAAATAGGATTCTAAAAGATTATTTGTCACTGTGAAATTGAACATGATGAATAAGGACAAGCACAACCTGAGCATGCCTGCCTGAGTTACTTACATAGTGTATTTGTCACAGGACTATCTCAAACAATGTCATTTTCACAAAATTCATTTTCAGTTTATTACCAATGCTCCAAAGAACAGTCATTGGGCAATTTTTTAGGGTTTTTCACTGACATGATCAAAGCATTAAACACTTACAACCATGTGACGATAACAGGCATGCATCAAATGGATTAAGCAAGAGTGTGTCTCCAACTGGTAGTAGCTCTGACTCACCCAAAGTTTATTGACAACTGCACTCTTGTTTTCACAAGATCTAAAGGTTGAAAAAGCAATGTTGAACATGTTCCGCTGAAGGATCCTGCCACAAATGATTTCACTATTGGAGACTGAAATGTGAAAACAGTGGTAACAATTAACAAGTAATTATACACCATGCATCATCGTAATATATATTACCATAACCACACCATGTTACCCTGTTTATTGTTTCACATATCCTCAAGATGCTTGAGGCAACTAAAATGAGTCAATCATGTTAGGGTTGCTTAGTGCATGTAAGCTTGTTACGTCACAATTACCGGTAAGCAAGATATTCTGAACTGACTTGAACAAGTTGAAATAACTAGCACCAGACTACTTTTCACATTTACCTCAAACTTAGCACTTGAATTAAATGCTAAAACAGTCTTAAACACCTTGTTAAATACAAACATTATCCCAAAAATATAATGAAAGAGTTTGAAATGATCATGAAAATCATCCATATTTTTAAACAAAATGCCTTAGTTTGGTTCTTCACTTTCACAATTTATGCCATGTACACACAAAGTGAGTGAGTGAGTATGGTTTTACGCCGCTTTTAGCAATATTCCAGCAATATCACGGCGGGGGGACACCAGAAATGGGCTTCACACATTGTACCCATGTCGGGAATCGAACCCGGGTCTTCAGCGTGACGAGAGAACGCTTTAACCACTAGGCTACCCGACCGCCCCTGCACACACAAAGAGAAGGACTAAAGATGGTATCACATTACAATAGTAAGCTACATAAAAACATGGGCCCAAAACAACTCAAATACCTAAAATGATAAATGTGAAACATTTTAGAATAGAATCATCATAACATATGCAACTGTTTCGGAAATATGGAAATTAAAGCTTTGAAACCGGATTATTAATACTTTACAAAGAAGCAAAGAAATAAATGATAACATACCAGTTTGTCCTGTATGCAAAATATACGTCTTTGTGTAAAGTATCATTGACTTGTAAAGATGGTAGAATAAATCAGTTGCAGACATTGGATACCATGGATACTATCATAAATGTTTATAACACATTTATCATAATATGTTCCAAATATATGCCAAGGTTTGTTTGTTTAATTGTTTGTTGTTTAACGCCGCACTTGACAATATTCCAGCTATATGACGGCGGTCTGAAAATAATTGAGTCTGGACCAGACAATCCAATGATTGACATCACATGCATCAATCCACGAAATTTGGACAAGATGACGGCGAGTGTAAGAATGTCAATATGGTCCAGTTGAAGTAGCAATTTGTCCATAGTGATTTATTATTGCTGAACATAACAAGTTATATCTGTTGGTAGATATCATGTGGAACAATCTATGACTGGCTGCTGACTTTTACCTCATTTGTGAATTTTGTGAAACCTAAGAACAGATAAATACAACTACAGAACAAAAGGGAGTTTGGGGGTGCGCTACTTTTCATGCAGTCACTCAATGGACACTGCAGAGAGTTTGATTTTACGGGGTCAGTGCATGGACGTCAAACATGGTAAATGTTTGCTCGATATGCATTTTAACAAGGTCATTCTAATTTCAATGTTATATAAATCTAAACATGTATGTTGCTGAACAGTTTATGGTAGCTGTCTGAAAACATCAAGATTGCAACTGTTCATGTTTTAATTGTATTGCTTCTGTGAAATGCATCACCATCAAATGCAAAAGCTACTGTCATGGGCTGTGACCTATCAAACAATCTGAAGAATTTTAGACGATACTTTTCAAGAACAAGACACGTGATCAGAAATCTGTCTTTCATTGTTTTTTAAAATTGTTTAGATTACTACAACCCATCATGACATCATCACTTGAACTGCCACCCATCATCAGTTAATCAAACGCAATTTGCAGTTTTGTCCACATTTTCATTCCAAGTTAGCTAAAGAAATGGGTATTTGGACGAGATGTTTACCAATATAACATGATATAACCTCTAGAAGTCCCCAGCTGTCTTTACTTAAGATATTTCATACGATCTGTAACCAGCTGGTTCATTGCGAATCATGCCCTCGTCTCGGTGCTATGACCCCAATGTACAAACTCCACAGTCCTAAGTTCTATGGCTGGTGAACAGGTGAAGAAGCGGGATACTCACGGATAAGGCTGCATCCATTCTTTTCCAAACACAATCTGATGGCAGTGCTGTGCCTTGATTGCGTGTGTTCAACGTCAATCCTAAAACTCTCCCTTGAGGTAGTTCGTACACTGAAAGTCAAATGGTGTTTTCTAAATGCCAGCAGTCGCGATGTTTGTTGATGTAATATACAGAAATGACAACGGTCAAGACATAGATGTTCAATGACGAGTCCAGGTTTTCTGGTTCAGTGCTGCCTATAATGGCCAACACCAAAGCGTGTCACCCCCATAGTGCTGGCTAATAACTGACGTCGCAGATAGCAGCTCCAAAACTGATGGCTTTGCCTAAAAGTGATTATATACCGAGCACTCCACTTGTAAATACCGTGCTCTCTTGGCTCCGCTCCTTATCGTAAGACCCATATTGTACATACCTCACCACTGATATCAGACAAATCAAGGCTTCTGTTGCGACGTATAACTGCACAGTTCTGACATTACTAAGTTCCCTTGATAGGGATTATGTAAATGCATTTGGGTGAGTTTGGGTGTAAAGTACGTTGATTCAAGCTAATGCGTGATGCGTAACTAATAAGGGCTATATACCCACGTTCCACGCCAATTAGTGTCATACAAATTAACCATGATGTACTGTTGTGCCTTTCAACAACGCAAATAGTATCCCCGTATTATCTTAAGACGAGACAGGTTTACATGTTAATTAATAAGCTATGAAAACCCAATCTTCCTTGTTTATTTAACACTGCCTTATCCTTTACAGATTTCTTGAAGACGTATTACCGATATATTACAAAGCTAATTCCGTACCCCTTTCGTGCGGAAGTAGCAAATAACACTAGTAATGAGAGAAAATAAAATACACCATCCCTGTCCATTTAGACCCCAAAAGCAGTTGTCGGGGCCCAATAATGTATGGTTGTAACACGTGCATGTATTCAGCATAATTTTATTTGTTTATTTAATGTGAACAAATAAAACGCATGATAAGCTTTTTTGTTACTTTCCTAATTGTTAAATATGCAAAATAAGACCAATGAAACATCAACGTTTATGATACGATCATTACCCTAAGTTTGATTCCTTGATGAAGTATTAAATCCCATTTCATGGTTTACATAACGCCCAACAGAGAGCTGAATGCTATTATGTACGTTCAGTCGTGAAGGTACTAGTACAAGCATTGCAGCACACCAGTCAAAACTGGTTCAAACCAAAACAAACTCCACGTGGTAGGGATTCGACTGGTCGTCACCGCATTTCCCAAGGACGTTTTTAACCAATCAGAAACTCGTAAATATACACACCTCTCTTCATTGTGGAAGGCAACTGTCATTGCGACTGCACGAGAAGGTGCATATTCGGGTTCACTTAGCTGGTTCATTTATAGAGACAGTTATGCGGACCATTGTATTAGCACATATATCATAACTTTCATAATTGTGCTATAAATATCTGATAGCGTGTATTGTGTTTTGAATGTAAGCCAATGAGTCCTACTGGTATGCTTGACACCAGCTGACGTTTAACAAAGACATTAAATTATACTTGCAAATAAGATGACTATACACCATGACCGTGAACCTGAACCTTACCGGTCATTATATATATATATAGGGCTTGAAGGAGAGACCGGATAAGGGCGAGTAAGGGGTTAGGCCCCCTCCTGCCGAGCGTCAGGCAGGATAACAACACTACCCAACTACCGGTAGGGTAATATAATAATCAAAAATTCTTTAACGTCTTTTGAAATGACTCGGCCAGGCGATCTTCTACCACATCGTCCTTCCACTGTCGAGGAAACTACAAAGGCCACGGACACAGCACATTTGTTATGCACGTGGCTCCAGATACTCTTTTTTAGCCATTGAGTGTTTACTCACATGTTATCATTCACTGTGGGTATTGATACTTAAATAAACGTGTAGAGGGTTACTACAGATTTGACCTCACAGCATCCAGTGTTTTAAAAACAAGCACTTGGAAACAAGGAACTATATATCTAAAGGCTATCTAGTGCCTTCACAATGTCAATACCCATGGTGTTTATATCAAATTATGTATGTTTTAGGGCAGATCCAGACTACAGCCCATTGAAAATTAATTCGTTTTGACCCAACAAGTACTCCCTTATCTTTGAGACAACCAGAGTACTGCTGTTACATATCCACATCGCCTGGACCTAAAGCCCTTATAGTTTTTTTTATCAAAGCATCCACTTTCAGGTATATAATTCAAATGAGTATTCATGCCAACAACGCTTTTAACAACGCTAAGTCACATTCTCCGTCGATTGAAGATAGTCTGTCTCATCGTCCCTGAACCATTTTATCCCCCCCCCCCCCCCCCCCCCCCCCCACACACACACACCCCATTCCTTACTGTAATGCTGTTCGAATCTCAGATTCGTCGAGATTATCACCCTTGACGTCTTAGCGCCACGACCGTTGCTCAAAGCAAAGTGTTTAACGCCATTGACCTGCGTTTCTGGGCTTTGCTTGCTCTAACCGAAAGTATTGAATCGCCTGTACTGGAGTTAGGGTGTAAATTCTGCCGGGGTACCAAATATTAAATTGTCTAGTCACAATGTGTTCATGGCAGATATATTGCCGACGTGCATGTAAATGTTAACTCACTCATTTATTCATTCACTCACTAAACCAGAATGTAAACATAAAATATACAATCCTCGAATTCGAATAAGGGACACAGTGCACCTTTGAGTAAACTATATATAGTTCCATTTGCTTCGTGATAAGTAATAAAAGCTTTATTATCTAGCAGGTATGTCAACAGTACACATTCCTCAAACACCTGCTGCGCACAAGTCACCATCAAAGACAACATGTTGACTGCATATTCACACGCGACGCACGTCACGTGATATGTTTGGCAAGACTTAGTGGTACGGAATCGGCTCGTGCAGTGCGAGGATATCAACTCACTTCTCATCACGTGGTCTTCGTACGTGCATAGTGTGGGTGGGTGGGTGCATCAGAACATGTATCGTTGGCTCCGAAATGTCATGTTGTGTGATGCAGAAAGTAGCACTTGTACAAAACAATAGTCTGGCAGGTGTCACTGAAAACAATTTATAGTTTAACCTGCTTGTGAGGGGACTTTCTCATCTTGAGAGACAGGTTGGACTTGTTATAACGAAAGCACACACCATAACATCAATGGAAGTGCCCATGGCTATTTAATCCTATCATGTTGAGACGTTCTCCATGCAAGTGTCGCTATGTAACTACAGAGGTAAACAATCGCAATGTGTGTTTCTTTACTTTTGTTTGTTGTTTAACGCGACACTCAGCAAAATCCCAGCTGTATGAAGGCGGTCTGCAATACCCTTGACCAGACAATCCAGTGGTTGACATGAACATCAATCAACGCAATAATTGAGATACGATGACATGCATCAACCAAGTCAGGTGCCTTGAACAGTTTGTTTAAAAATATTAAACACACGGACA